CCCCCCCCCCCCGCCCCCCCCCACCACGGCGTAAACGCTGGGGACGGACAGAGCTGCCACCGGGACACCGTTCATGGTGTTGGTGGCTTTCAAGGGAGGCCCCTTTCCCCAACGGGAACGCTTGGTCAAAGCTGTGGGTGCTACCGGGCGGCCAAAACTCCACGGGTGATGGATAAAGGACACCCCCCATTTTTAAATTTTCTTTTTTCTCCCCACCCAGGAATTCAGCCGGTTCTTCCGGCACCGTTACAACCAGAACGTCTGCTTGTCGGACCGCATGGAATTCCTCAACGGTTGGTACATCCTCCTGGTGATCAGCGATGTCCTCACCGTCTTGGGAACCATCATGAAGATCGGCATCGAGTCCAAGGTACGGGGACGGCGGGGGAGCCGAGCTGGAGGTTTTGCAGATCTTGGGGGGGCCACTGGTGTCCCCGTGTTCCGGGGAGGGGACATTTCTGTGTCCCGGGCCATGAAAACGGCTTCTCCTGGGTGCTGGCAGCACGTTGTTTGCCCCCGGTGAAGCTGTCCCGGAGTCCCATCAGTGGATTAGGGGACAGGCGTCGCTTCGGAGGGGTTCACAGAGAAGGGGACCTGGCCTGGGTGGGACCCCAGAGTCCCCCTGTCCCCTTTGGGATAGGGAGATGGCAACAAAGGGACAGGCAGGGTCCTTCCTGGCTTGTGGCCACCGGGATTTCACTCGTCGCTAGCTTGTGGCCAGCGCAGAAGGTTGTTAGGGCTTCAGGGGACGGCGTTGGGGACTTGGGGGATGACGTTAGCCGTGTCCCAAGCCCGTGACGCCTCTGTCCCTGCAGAACTTTGCCAGCTACGACGTCTGCAGCATCCTCCTGGGCACCTCCACGCTGCTGGTTTGGGTCGGGGTCATTCGCTACCTCACCTTCTTCCAGAAATACAACGTGAGTGCCACCGGGGAGGTGACCCAGGGGACAATTTCCAGGACGGCTTGTCCCCAAGGTCCCCATCCTGCTCTGCGGGGGACCTCGGGGTTGCACAGCGGGGTGCTTTAATTGCTGTTGGGTCCCTTCCTGCCGGGGACCTCGGGGTGTCACACGGGGGGGGGCTTTAATTGCTGTTGGGTCCCTTCCTGCCGGGGACCTCGGGGTGTCACACGGGGGGTGCTTTAATTGCTGTTGGGTCCCTTCCTGCCGGGGACCTCGGGGTGTCACACGGGGGGGTGCTTTAATTGCTGTTGGGTCCCTTCCTGCCGGGGACCTTGGGGTGTCACACGGGGGGTGCTTTAATTGCTGTTGGGTCCCTTCCCGCTGGGG